GCTTTGTCCTTGATGTATTTATGGATCTTGGATGTTTCATCCTGGACAGTGGCTCTCACACTCACTAGTCCTCTGCCTCCTTCCGTAATGGCTTGTGTACAGTCTCAGGGTGCTGGATTTGGGGTGGAACCCTCCTACTAACCATGGAAGCTACTAACCATGGTTAGTAGCTTCAGAGTCTTAACATCCGTGGCCTTCATCTCTTCCATTGGCCAGCTAATTATTCCGGCAGGGTATCTGATTACTGGTAAGGCATAGCTGTTTATTGCACGGATCTTGTTCTTGCCATTGAGCTGGCTTCTCAGGACTTGCCTTATTCGTTGGAGGTWTTTGGCTGTGGCTCCTTTCCTTGTGACCTCATCGAGGATGCCATTTGCTTCTGGTATTCCCAGGTACTTGTAGTGAGAAAACTACAGATTGTTTGTGTTAAATTATTTTAAAATGTTTGAACTGCCATTACTTCTCTTATGTTTTTTATGTTTTTAAATTTGTTTAAAATATTTTACTGAGACCAGCTTCAGATAGGTTTTAAAATGGGAAAATATTAAATAGATCTGTGAGTCAGTATCTCACCTGCAGTAGACAGCAGTTTGAGTGAGAAATGCTGGAAGGAGTTTTCATGAAGGAGTTAAGTTTAACAGTTAAAATCTAAATCAGCTAACTTTTCTGTCCCAGGTTCCTCACAGGAAGTAGGTCCCTCTCAGACGGTCAGAGCCATAGTTGGGGATGACACAGTTCTGCCGTGTCTCCTGAAACCTCCTAATGATGCTACTCACATGACTGTGGAGTGGGGAAGACCTGACCTGGAACCCAGATTTGTGTTTGTATTACTTGATGGGAAGGAACACCTGATGAACCAAAACCAGGCCTACAAGGGATGAAGTTCAGTGTCGACTGATAACCTGAAGGATGGAGACGTCTCACTGAGACTGTCTGATGTCAGACAMTCTGACAACGGCAGATATCGATGCTACATCCCCAAACACACACAAGAAGAGTTTGTTGAGCTTCTTGTTGGTAAGAAAACAAAGTGACAACAAATAAAGACAGTTCAGTGTTTGATGCTAACTTTGTTAGCGTCTGTTAGCTGGTGGTCCGTGTGTTGGACTCTGGAGGGGCTCTGAATGGTTTCTCATGTCCAATGTGTCCTGTGGTCCTCAGGTTCAGTGTCCTCAGCTGGGATCAGGTTAGCAGGACTTGATGAAGGCACCAGTGGGGTGATGTTAGACTGTAAGTCTGCAGGCTGGTTTCCAGAACCACAGCTCCTCTGGTTGGACGGGGAGGGACAGGTCCTCCCTGCTGGACCTGCAGAGACCAGCAGAGGTCCTGATGGTCTGTATTCTGTCAGCAGTAGAGTCACTGTGGAGAAAAGAGTCAACAACAACTTTACCTGCAGAGTCCAACAGAAGGACACGGAGCAGAGCAGAGAGACACATGTCCATGTTCCAGGTAGGACAAGTGTCCACCTTTAAACCTCCAGCTCTTCACTTCTTCTCACATTTAACCCTTTGATTACTGGTTGTGTTTCAGAGGACTTCTTTGTGGTCCGGTCTAACTGCTCTGTTCCTGTCAGCCTAAGTCTGGTTTTGTTTTTCATCCCGATTCTTGTTGTTTCTGTTTATGTCTGGAGATGGAGACAAAGAAAAACCTGTGAGTTTAATGTTTGACTTCATTTAACAGATTTAACCTCTGAGATGATTCTAAGATAATTTATTAAACTATAATCTGTTTATTATTTAGTAAAGTTTGTTTACCTCATGTTTCCACAGCAACAATCAGAGCATGTAAATAAACAAGGACAGCTGATGGAAGAAAGAAAAAATGATTTGACGGGAAAAAGGTCAGAACGAGAGGCATTACTAAAGATCATTAATAAGCACAAAAAACGTGAGGGGGAGCTATTAAAGACCACCAATAAAGATAAAGAAAATTTGGATCACATCTCTCAGGTTTTAATGAAGATAAAAGAAGAACCGGTGGAACATAAAAAAACAAATCAAAGCTCTCCAACAGGAGGAAGAGACAACAATAAAGAGAATGAGGAGAAAGTTGAAGTGGAGCAGGAAGTTGAAAACAAGAAGGGAAATAAATCAAACAACAAAGCAGAAAGATACATAAAACTGCAAGAAATTATGACACAGAACAACAGCAAACTGGGAAGGACAACGATGATTTGTGTGTAGCTGTATCTGAACACAGATAAACTCATTCAGACAATGGCGGAAGAAATGAAGACGATGGAGGAAAATAAACAGAACAGAGTCAAATAAAGAAACTGAAGAAGAACAAGTACAGGAGAAAGAAACAAAATAAAATATTTAAATGATACATCAATACTTTAAGATTGTCTGAAAAGAAAACCATGCCCCCTACTGTGAGCCTCCTGACACAACAGGTTCAACAGAATTTCCAGAGCCACAACCTTTCCCTCTTGGTTTCTGTAGATGCCCTCAGCATCCTGTCTGGCCCCTCTGTCTTGCCACAGTTGTTTCTCTGAAACGGCAACATTAGTTTGCATCTCTAATATAGTCTGAACATCAATTTTTTTCTGCAAAACGTTTTCCTCAGAACTCACAGCAGGACCTCCTTCCACCTGGACCATCTGTCTGTTTTTCTCATAACGAGCACACTCCTTTGCTGCTCTGTCAGCCTGAAAATTCCCTTTCGCCACCACATCCCGCTTTTTCTGGTGAGCCCTACATTTCAAGATTGACACTGCTCGTGGTTGTCCCAATGCGTAGTATAACTCCATTATTTGTTGCAGGTGACTCAAATGTTTTCCAGAAGCAGTCACAAAGCCCTTCCTCATCCACTGGCTCAAATCAATATGAACACTGCGGTGCACGTAGTCTGAATCTGTGTAAAGTTAACAGTTTTTCCTGCAGATAAATTACGCACCTCAGTCACAGCTTTTAATTCAGCTAATTGAGCTGACGCTGGTTGTTTAATGACCTCTGACCTCAACACCACAAACATTCCATGACATTCTGACTCCACAGCAAAAGAGGCAATGAGCGCACCCTCCTCAGTCTTATGAGAGTGTCCGTCAGTAAACAATGTCATGTCAGCTCCCTCTAGGGGGTCCTTTAAAACGTTCTCATGTACTCTCATTTCCTGATCTGTCACATCTGCACAAATGTAGTCCTGATTTGTCGTCATGTGAGAAGCAACATTCACTCCCTCCGCAGTAAAATGAATATGTGGTCTGTCCAGCAATCTCTTTACACTTTCTGACTTGTTCAGTGAAAATGTAAATGCCTGGGAGTCTATGAACGCCTGTACATCATGCAAAGTATGAACAATCACCTGATTTGCCATGGTTATGTGGGATGTTTTTACTACAGCTTTCATGATGGCTGCGACATGTCTAGCACAAGACGGGTGACCTCTTTCAATGTGATCCAATTTTGAACTGTGATACATCAAAATCCTCCTGTTGTTTTCCAATCCTTTTTGATACAGCACAGCATTCACAAATCCTTGTTCCTCACTTACATCTATGTGAAATGGCTGCGAATAATCAGGACTCTGCAATGCACATGTACCTGCCAAGCTTTGCTTCACCTGAAAAAAAAGTCCTGTCTGCCGCCTCTGACCAAACTAAAAGAGCAGAGTACTCCCTGTAACCTGCAGCTGAAATCAACTCTCTCAGCGGAGCAACTTTACTGCTGAACTCTGGCACAAAAGATCTGCTGTAATTTACCAGCCTCAAAAATTTCATCATTTCCCTCACTGTTTTAGGCTTGGAGTAGCCCAGAATAGAAGTTTTCTATTTTTTCTGTCAATTGAAACCCTTCACCTGACACTACTCTCCATAAGAAGGTGACACTTTCACGACCAATTTGGAACTTTTGTCTAGAAACTTTAAAACCACATCTCACCAGATGTCTTAGAACCATGTCTGTTACTTTTAAAATGCTGTCAGAATCCTCCTCTGCCACCAGGATATCATCAACATACATCAACAGCAATGTCGTTGGAGGCAAAGTTAACTCCTGTAATTTTTGTCTCAAAATGTGGTTAAATATAGATGGTGAATCCACAAACCCCTGTGGCAGCCTAGTGAATTGATACTGTTGTGATTTGAATATAAATGCAAAAGGTTCTGACTCTCAATGTGCAGTGGCACTGAAAGTATGCATTGCTCAAATCTATGCAGCTGAAAAGCCTATGTTCAGGTCTTATTGCATTCAACATTACATAAGGATTTGGGATGTCATAAAATGTAGGCATCACAACTTTATTTATTGGTCGCAAATCCTGCACGAGACGGTATTCAATCTTGTTTGCTTTTGGCACTGGACAGATGGCCGTGTTCCACGGAGACGAGGTTGGTACCAGGACGTCATTTTCTAACAACCCCACGATAGTTTTTTCACACCCTCTACCTTGTTCAGGCCGTAAACGGTACTGCGGATGATAAATAGGTACCATACCTGGCTTCAAAACAATTTTTACAGGGTCCACGTCCAGCATTCCCACATCTGTGCTGTTTTTGCCCATAACATCACAGGTAACTGCTCTAACAGTTTTCCTGCATCTGGATGATCTAGATTCTCCTTTTCATGTGTCCTAACAACCCACTTTTTCTCAGGAATAAGAGATGTGACTGAAGTGTGTTTTATCCTGTATATGCCTATTGAATGTGAATAACGCAAATCTGTGTTAATGTCTACCCATTCATCCAGCATGAGGCAAGATCTGACCAAAGGTCCCAATGACTTTCCCTCGCAGCCTGCAGCCACCTTCAAAGCGAAATGAGGTGCAGAACCAGAACTCAACACATACAGCTCCTTCAGTGGTGATGACAGTTTCACTTCTGCTGCAACTCCTTCCGGAGCCACAAAAATGTCCCCCAGCTCCACCAGCGGGTTTTCACCAGTCAGTACAGTGTCTTTGAAGTTCAGCCCACAAAATATCTTAAGTCCCACCATCTGTCAGGGCATAGTTCATCGTGCAGTGCAGAGCATCACCAGGCATGTCATAATGTCTGAGAGAGTTTATCGATGGACCCCAGCTGGACATTGTGGTCCACAATGGCATGGCTTGACATTCAGGAATCAATCCCCACCACATGACCATCTGCTTTTTCTCCAGTGCCTCTTCAGATGCCCCCAGCAACATCTGAGCTGATGTATTCCTGACTGTAGAACAAACCTGCACCTGTCCATCTGGAAAAGAAATTTCAATCCGGTCTGGGCACAGAAGGAGCCCCACATTCTGCTCAAACAGGATATCTCTCCCCAGGAGATTCACTGGACAGTTTGTTGAGACCAGAAACCTGTGGTAAAAATGGAGCTAGTTCCACTGGCAGGGCACAAATTCAGACAAAGGCCACTCTTCAGATTTTCCAGAAAAAACAGCGACTCGGACCACAATATCAAATAACGGCAGTGGCTTGAAGAAATTTATAGTTAGGGCCTAGTACTGATTAAATACAACACAGAGTTATGGTTTTCTATTTTATAATACCTGTATAATGTTTGTTATATTTCTTGCAATGTGTTAATAGGGTAGATACATGTCCGAATATAACAACACATAATTGAAGCTGTATTAACATTAGATTTGAGGGTTGTATGTAGGAATGCCTGTGATTCAGCCGTAGGCCAGCAGGAGGTGAACTCAGGCATTGAAGCTCCTGTATATATATTGGTCGACTTCCTGTTTTGAGTCCCAGTGTGTGGTTTGACTTGCCAGCCCGTGGCAGAATAAACCCCCACTCCAGAATTCTGATGTTGTATGGCATTTATTTCTTATCACAGATCATTTTATTTAACACTGGTGTTTTCATCTGACTTCAGCCGTTATTGAACACGTATTTTCTTACAGGCTCATTTACTGTACTGTATTTTGCTCCAGTATCCACAAGACACATCACCTCCCGATCGCAGACTGTAAGTTTGGTCATAGGGTCAAGATTCTTGTGGGCCCCAATCGCTGACTCCTGGCACCCCTATTGCATCTGAAAACCACCCCTCTGTGCTGCCCCCCAAGACTGCTGACCATTATGTGTTGTCGGTGCTGTTTGTGGAAATGGTTGTGATGGATAATACTGAGGTGCAAATACCTGCCACATGCAGCTTGGGCCCTCCAAATTTCGCTGGCACTCATTAGCCCAGTGCCCCAGTTGTCCACATAAAAACACGTGTCCATCTTATAATCCCTTATACCCTTTCTGAAAAATCTACCTCTATGACCCACTCTTGTCCCCCTACCTCTAACAGGTGGGTATTGGTGATGCTGAAAATTTTGAGGCTGATTATTGTTTGGCCCCCCTGCTCCCTGCACCAAAACATCCTGCTGCGGCCCTGCCTGATGCATCTCCACCAATTGAGGCATCTGTACTGCACTTTTTTCTTTTGTCTGGTTCACTCTATCCCTCAGATCTTTCAGCTTAGCCTTTGCTAACTGTGCCTCCAAGGATCTCATTTCTTGTTGCTCAGCCTGTTTGTCCTTCACCTGTTTATCAATAAAATGGACCACATGATCACTCCACAAGTCATACTCTAATCTATCCAACCCTACAACACACTCCAGCTGCTTCCTGACCTGATCAGTCTGGGACTTTAATACTGCTGACTTAAACAGTACCCAACTAGGCCTATCATAAGCCAGCTCCACACCAATTTTAGACACCCATAACTCTCTGACCCTCGCCAGATAAGCTGACCCTCTTTCATTCTCTCGTGGCGGAATATTATTCAACTCAACTGACTCCATGTTTATTGGAAACCCATCCCTAATCCTCGGCCACAATGCATGTACCCACCTTTCTAAAGGTGTGTCATCTGGAGCCCCAAATGAAGCAACAGCTGCTTCAAGCTCTGTTAGTGCCCCCCAGCTAGTACACGCACAATACACACATCTAAAACCCCCCCATTGTTGGAACCATGCCAGAAAAGGCCTCTAAAATGCCTTAATCCACAACGACCCTCCAGCACTCAAATCAGGTAACTTTTGTTTAATCAGCTGTGTGTCCTGCATAGAAAATGGTTTGTAAGTGACAATAGCACGACCGGCCTCATCTGTTGAAGTCACAAGTGGAAACATCCCACCCCACGGCTTCTGATCCATACAATAATGAATATTTGACTTAACCTGCCTCTCATCTCTGTGATGTGACCACTGCATCTGTCTATTATGTTGTAATCTGTTCACCTGAACTGTATAATCTGGCCTAATTCCATGCATCTACACATCTCCCTGCAAGCCTCCACTAGGTGGCGGTGGCCCATCATCCCACCATCCTGAGGCCTCTCTGCCTGCCACATCAGTCTGCAAACCCTCACGTCTGTTGAACCTCTGTGGATCTACAAACTTACTGATAGCAGCTCTTACACCATCTTCATCTTTCTGTGGGAAGAATTCTAGCAACCCCTTACGTACTGCATATGCTACATCTTCCGGCCATTTATCTTTCACTGCCATAGTCCCAGTTTGGCGTGATGATGTTTTACTCGTGCCCTCATCTGGGTCTTCCTCCTCACCAAACAAAGGCATCTGTTTCTCAGAATTCGCTAACATCAGAAAGAAAAAAAAATTGTATAGGTCTTCTGGACGGGTTCTTCTTTAATGAAACGTTTCGTCTCTCCTCCAAGAGACTTCTTCAGTCTGAGAGTTTCAGGCAAAATTCAGGCTTTTAAGCACTGCCTCCATGTGACTGATACTCACATCACATGGCTATGGTTCACAGGTGACTGACACTCACATCACATGGCTATGGTTCACAGGTGACTGATACTC